ACTGCTCCGGATCTTTAACCACACGTGGATCACGTTGATTCCTAAGGTGGAAGAGATAGAGACGATGCGCCAGTTGCGGCCGATTAGTCTATGCCAAGTGGTTTATAAGATTATCTCAAAGATCTTAGCAAATCGACTTGCATTGGTGTTACCAGCAGTTGTTTCTCCTGAGCAGAACGCTTTTATCAAGGAGAGACAAATTGTTGATAATGTTCTGATTGGTCATGAAATCATGCACTATCTAAAAATCAAGACGAAAGGGAAGAAGGGTTACATGGCCCTAAAGGTTGATATGGAAAAGGCCTATGACAGGGTTGAGTGGCCGTTCTTACTTTCGATCTTGAAAAAGCTGGGGTTTGGGGAGCAGTGGGTTCGGTGGATTCAGGAATGTATTTCGTCGTCATCTTATTCCGTGCTGATGAATGGAATGCCAGCTGGGTATTTTCGGTCTTCCAGGGGCCTACGGCAAGGGGATCCGCTGTCCCCCCTGCTGTTTGTCCTTTGCACAGAGGGGTTGACTGCCTTGATTAAAAAAGCAGTGGTGGATAGACGGTTAACGGGAGTGCGGGTTAGTCCGCGTGCGCCTAGGGTGACTAATCTACTCTTCGCTGATGATTCATATATGTTTGTGCAAGCCTCGATGCAACAGTGTGAGAATCTGCTCCAAGTTTTGGGGGAATATGAGGAATTGAGCGGGCAACGGGTTAATTTGGATAAGTCGGCTGTTTGCTTTAGTCGCAATGTCCTCCAGGAGGACTGTGAGGAGATGGCAGCGCGATTGGGGGTGGGGGCTATGGGGGTCCTGGATAAGTATCTAGGGCTGCCCACCTTAATTGCTGGGTCGAAGTCTGAAACATTTCGTTTCCTGGAGGAGAAGTTGTTGCAAAAGTTGCAAGGGTGGAAACAGCGACACTTATCCTGGGCAGCGAAGGAGACTCTGTTGAAGTCAGTTGCGGCGGCTTTACCTGTCTATGTGATGGCATGTTTTAAGTTGCCGGTGACGCTTTGTCGGCGTCTTGATAAGCTTATGGCCCGTTTCTGGTGGGGTGGTGCGGTGGATAGAATTCATTGGATGTCATGGAGAAAATTGTGTCGTAGCAAGCAGGACGGGGGATTGGGGTTTCGTCGGTTTGAGCAGTTTAACCAAGCCCTCCTGGCGAAGGTTGGCTGGCGGATTATGCAGGACCCGGACTCGTTGCTTGCTAGAATCTATAAAGGGAAATATTATCCGAACGAAACGCTTTTGGCGGCGACGGCGCGGTCGAGACCATCCTGGGGGTGGCAGAGTGTCTTGCATGGGGTGCAGCTGTTGAAGGCTGGCCTGCGTTGGCAGATTGGGTCGGGGGAGGAGGTGGAGATCTTGACGGACAATTGGGTACCGGGGTGCCATCCTAACCCGCCGGAGGTGTTGCCTTCGGCGTTCCTTTGGGAGGGTGCTACGGTGGCTGACCTGATGGGGGAAGAACCAGGGACTTGGTGTGATGATTGTCTGGCGAATTGCTTTACCCCTGCGGTCGGAAGGGCGATCAAGGCGATTGTCCTCCCTCGGTTGCCTGTCCGGGATAAGCTCATCTGGCATGAGGATCGAACGGGGGAATATACGGTGAAGTCCGGATACCACTTGGCAATGAGGTTGAGTGGGGGCCGATGGAAGGGCAAGAGTGAGGCGTCTTGGATGGATTCTGCTTTGTGGAGGAAAGTGTGGAATCTTGGGATTCAGCCGAAACTCCGGTTTTTTCTGTGGCAGGTTATGAACAGGATTTTGCCAACGACAGAGGCCTTTGTTGTCCGCGAGATTGAGGTTCTGGAGCAGTGCCCGGTGTGTTGGCATGAGATAAAAGATTTGGAGCATTTGTTCTTCCATTGCCCTGTGGCTGCCAGGCTATGGGCGGAGTCAGGCCTGATGGATGTCCGGGCGGGCCTCCCGGAGGCGAACATGGGTATTTTTGTCCGGCGGCTGTTGGAAACGGTCACCAGTGAGGAAGTTATTATCAAGATAGTCTCGTTGTTGTGGCGGGTTTGGAAATCTCGTAACTGGGTGGTGTTTGAAGGGTGCCAGTATACTGGAGAGGTTTTGCGTAGCCAATGGTTAGTCCAGGTGGGGGAATGGCAACAGATGTCGAGACAGGCAGAGGCCCGGGTGAGAGAGCAAGGTCGGAGGATACCTTTGGACCCGCATCGACCGCCACAGGGGGTGGCTTGGGTATGTTCCTTTGATGGAGCAGTGCGTCAGGCGTCGCACTCTGCGGTGGGGGTTGCCTTGCAAGGCCCGGATGGGGTAGTGGTTAGTGCCTTGGGGAAGGGGTGGGCGGAGGTTACGGATCCCATGCTGGTGGAGTTGCTGGCTCTTCGGGAGGCAATCCTGTGGTGTAGATCGATGGGTGTGCAGGGTGTCTGCTACCAGGGTGACGCGAAAGTGGTAATCGACAAGGTGTTGGCTGGTAGTACGGGGGACTGCTATGGTGGAGCTGTGCTGCGGGAAGTCCAGGGTTTATTGGATGCGGATGAAGTGGATGTTCTCCGGTTTGTAGGTAGGGATAACAATAGGGTAGCCCATAGGGTGGCTAGGAAGGCCCTGTCTTTGTATCCTACTCTTATCGGAGGGTTTGATTTTTGCGTTTGGCTCCGCTCGGAGATGTAATCGTTTATGATCTTTGCTTCTTGGTAATACAAGCTATCTTTTGTTATAAAAAAAAAATTAACAAAACAGACGAATTTACCCCACTCGTCCTAAATCCCTAAAACAGAGCGCTTCCGCTGCCCTGTCGACGCCGTTCACCCTGGATCCTTCCCCGTCGCCGACTTTGCGCCCTGCAACTTCCTTCCGCTCGAGAGTTGTCGCCGGGATAATCTTTCGCTTCTGCAACCATAGTACCAGACCCGTCCAACCGATTCTACAACCTAACCGGGCGGAGCGGTTCCTTCTTCCTCCTCACCAGCGCTCGGCAGCAGAGACAATTGCCGACCTGATCGGCGCACTGAGCAGGCATGGTCGGGCAGAATTCTTTTCTCTCTTATGAGTCCTTGATCGGCATATGGGAAGGCATGGAAGTGCAGCGGAATGCATGGGAGCACAAAGCAGAGCAATGGACTTCCATTGACGGGACCCAAAGCAGAGCAATGGACGACATGAAAGCAATGGGCAATTGCGGCGGCGACGGACGAGGATTTCCAGGCGAACGGCGGCGACAGGGTTAGAACCTCAGGGCGAACGGCGGCGACGGGAGCGGCTGACGGCTGATCAAAAACAGGTTAGGGCGACGGCGGGGCAGTACATAGGATTAGGGCGGCGTTTTTTGGGAGTTAGGTTGCAAATTGGGAATTTTAATAGGGGATAAAAACGTCAACTTGCTTAAGTTAGGGCGACAAATTTAAAAAATTAGGGCGTTAATTAGTACCTCTCTATAACTTAAGTACGTACATCATCGATTTTTAATATTGGGTTACCAAATTCCAATATAAGAAGTAAGAACTCTCATGAATACATTTTTTTTTATCAATAATTAATTCATCTTCTATTTTCTTTTACTTCATAGTGCCTCGTAGGGGTGGCTATACGGTCCGGTCCGGTTAAATTGGCCCAAATTGATCCGGTCAAGTCCGGTCTTTTTGAAGATATAAGGACCGAAGATTGGATTGGATACAGTCCGGTCTTGATCCGGTCCGGTTTTGATCCGGTCCGGTCCCAATTCGGTCTTGATTTTACATTGAGATTGTGGGATTTGAGTGGCCTAAGGCCTTAAAGGGTGAGGAGTTGGTTAAGTTTTGTACTAAGTGCAAAGGTTTGTGACCGTTTATGCAAATTACCCTTAAGTTTTGGGTGTTGAGCTCTCTTATCCGGTCTTTATCCGGTTTTTTACCTCAAATCTAAGCCCAAAGATTGGATTGGATTGTTTACTATCCGGTCCCGGTCCGGTCTCGGTCCGGGTTATACGGTCCGGTTTCCGGTTTTTAATCCGGTCCCGGTCCAAATAGCCACCCCTAGTGCCTCGTTTCACATGGTGAAGTTACCAATAGCTGCGACGGTCACCACGTCACAAATTGGAGTAACCGGAATTAAGCCAGATGATAATACCTACAAAAGCAAAGAGTTGGATTTCTAATAAACTGAATTCTAAAAAAGACATCATGGTGAGTTAAACATGGTGTTAGCACTATGTTATTACGATCTTATTTAATCTTCAACGGTACAATTAGTTACTTACTGCTTCACCAGTTTGCATAATCCTATGAGTGATGAAGAAATTAATGGTCGCTTTCATTAAAATGAATGGAGACAAGACCCTTGGCTCATACGGCCATATGGTTTCACAGCGATGGTTCTTCGTTCTTCGGCCAAAGCATCTTCCAAATTCCTTCCAATTGGAGCAACTCTCAGAAAAAAGGTGTTTTAGGGATATGATATTGGTAGGATGCTAACATAAAATAGGAGAATTTAGATTGATTTAATAGTGCTAATTTACCTCCCTTCTCTTCAGATAAGATAACTAATCTTCTACTATTTTTCAATCGATCATGTGTTTTATTTTAACTTGCATTCCAAATATTTTGTAAAAAATCATATTAATTATAATTTTGCAATAGAAAAAATTCACCTCCACATACTTTTTAATACAAAAAATAAAATAAAAATACTAGCATGTATTTAAAGGTCATTGACACTATAGTCGAAATTAGGACTAAAAAGGTTTATAAAATGAGAAATTCTATCGAATTAATCTATATATTGAACCCGTTTTCTTTTATAATTGTGCTCAATAAGGGGAGTTGTCAATATTTTTGGTCCCTAGATTAAAGTAATGTTGCTTGCTGCTTGGTGATAACCATTTTGCTTTTGAACTTGCAAAGGAGTACATTAGTCAACATAGGCCTGGGTGTGTCATTATGCTTGGACATTACAAAAGCTCACTAAAGAATAATGCTTACTGACAACAACATATCTACTCATCTTCTTTATAGCTTCTAATTGATCAACATAAATTCAAAATTTTGATACCATGTTTAAATTTTTGTACGAATACGTAAAATTTTACCCGATCTTATCATTCAGTGTGAATAATCTCGCCTTACACAAGATTTTGGTAGAGCTCTTATTATTTTCTGCAACTGCATCTTACAGATGTGTTTGGCCAAGATTATCCAAACCCATTCACTTAGCTCAACCTGGATCTCCCCTAAATCATACAAAGCGAAATTACATTGCAGAACAGTGCCGGAAAAAAAGGAGGCAAAGCCAAAGACATAATACATGTTTACCAAGTTGTCACCACACCAATTAGGCAAACAGGTCTTGAGAAGACAACCGAAGTGTCGGCACAGCCATCAACGGCTTCTTCTTCTTGATGAATATCTTGTAATAATCCGAAAACTCAATCTTCTCTGCACCATCCGGCTGCTTCCAATCAAACGAATGCAACAGCGAGGCCAACACGTACCTCAGCAGCTTCCCAGCCAAATTAGCCCCGGCGCAAATCCTCTGCCCAGACCCAAACGGGATGAACTGGAAATTACTGTTGTTGCCCATCAGATCAAACGGCCTCTTGTCGTCGTCTTTGTTCAGAAACCTCTCCGGTCGAAACTCCGACGGCTCGTCCCAAAACTGCGGATCCCTGTGGATGGCCCAGGCGTTGATTATGACCATCGATCCTTTTGGAATCGCATAACCACCGAGTGTAGAGGGTGCGGTTGACAGCCGAGGGAAGAGGTTTAGGTGCAACCGACATGTCTCCTTCACCACGGCTTCGAGGTAGTTGAGATTCTTGAGATGGTGGTCTTCGACGAGACTGTCGAGTCCCACGATTTCGTCCAGTTCTCGCTTGACGTTCTTCATCACTCTGTCGTTCATCAACAGCTCTGACAGTGCCCACTCGATTACGTTCGATATATTCTCGGTCCCGCCGGTCGCTATGTCCTTTGAAACATACGAGGTAAAAACAAAATGATTGTCAACGATGTAATAAATCAGGGTCTCAATAACTCGAGTTGTTGAGAGGAGTTCTTGTATGATACTTAATCACTTTTTTTATACGCTTCTTGAAACGAAAGCCAATTCATTGGCTTGAAATTTGTACATGTCCGTCATATCATGTGATTTAAGGACAACTATGAATATTGAAGATCGTAATAACTTGAATATGCGATCTTAAAAACAAATCAGCTCTGATATCATGTTATAAACCAGTTGGTCTAATAACTCGAGTTGTTGGGAGCAATGAAGTGCGATTCTACGTGGAAGTGTTTCGGTGACCTAGAAGCGTAAAGCCGTAAGATTTTAAGATTTAAAGCGTAAGTTTTGATTACGCTTGTAAATAAAAAGAGTGATTCTACATACGTTCGTTTTGGTGATCTAAAAGTGAGCGTTTGAGATTTAAAACGCGATTTTAGTTGCATTGGTTGGGAGAGATCCATGGTATCTAACTACTTTATGTAAATGTAAAATGTTCAGGTCAGGTAACCATTTATACTCTAATGTTGATCAAGATAGGGTTCTGTTGTTGATTTTAGTCAAATAAATCCACAAAAACAAATGAAATCTCAGAAGATCAAATTGAGAAACTGAAGATGAATACCTGAAGAATGGCTTTGAGGTGGGTCATGGAGGCCAACGACGACGAACCAGCATTCTCAGAGTCCTCCCTAATCTCCAGCAAAATCTGCAACATATCCTTCAACCTCTTCTCCCCTTCCCCCTGCTTCTTCAACTTGCCACCCTCCAATCTTCTCTCAATCACAGAGCTAAACACCCAATCAAGTCGCTGAGCAACCGCCGTCGCTTCCTTCAAAATCCCCTGAAGATCAAACCTCGCTAGCAGGGGAAACATGTCGGAAACATTGGGCCTCGAATTGATCTCCATCACTTCCTGGCTCACTACTCGCAGCTCCTCAAAGCAAAATTGATCCCCTTCCCCACCCCACAGCATACCCAGAGTCGCATTCGAGACAATCTTGTACGTCAATTCGTAGACGCCGACCGGTTTCCCGACGAGCTCGTTGCTAATTACTTCCCTCAGCGACCTGACAAGTTCTCTTCTCCTCAGGGGAAAACAAAGGTCCAGAGCAGGGTTGCTTAGGGTTTCCCTGACCAGGAGTTTCCGCATCGATTTCCAGTCGTGACCCATCGGCAGGGACAGGACGTCGGTGCCGCCGTAGGTGCAGACGCCGGCGGCCGCCGGGAACCCGCGGGTGGAGAAGATGGGCTCGTTTTGCCCGCCGCGGAGCAGGACTTCTTTGGTCAGATCAGGGGAGCTGACGACCACGAACATCTGGTTGGCGAACCAGATCTTGAAGATGGGCCCGTATTGGGCCGCGAGGTCGGCGAACTTGCGGTGGAGTGGGTTGTCGCCGGCGAGGAATGGGATGTACCCGACAATCGGCAGGCCGCGTGGCCCCGGAGGCGGAGGTGCTCGCGATTTGGATCTTTTGACTGAGAAGTACCAAGTTGCGACGAGTAGCAGAATGGGTATTGCGGCGGAGATGGTGGTGATTGGTGATTGGCTGGGAAGTTGGTCGTTGTTGTTGAGTGGAGGACTAAGAATCGACGGAGGATCAGCCATGGCTGCTAGTTTAGTATGCCGAAGCAAATGTATGTGTGAGGACAGTGGTGAGTGGCTCAATGCCCTGTATTTATTTTAAGTGTTCTGTGCTAGTTTAGGGAGTTCACACCTTTTTTTTTTTTTTTTTCCAAAGAGGGAGTTCACACATTGCATTATTGATTGCCAGTTTAGAGGGATATGGACTTGTCTACGAAGAGTCAATCATGTCTGACAATAATGAGATTAATATGACGTTAAGGTTTACTGTGAAGAACAAACTCCAGCTTATTGAAGTGTATGTTGAAAAAAGAGGTGGAGCAAGCAATTTGTGGGAATTATAACTACCATAGTGGATGTAACTTCATCTCACGACTATGGTAAGGTGGTTATTCATGAGACTATAGAGGATGATGCCTTTCTCACCGGTAATTACCAAAGCATCCTCCTAATTGCCACGAGTGTGAATGACAACAAGCCTTCAATCTTCCCGCTTTAGTTCGTATGCAATCGAACTCCCGATGAAAGAGCTTGTTTTTCTATGAAATGGACAGTTTTATTGTTGTCGTACTTGTAATGTTGTTGTCCGACTATTGCTTGGGGGCTTATCTTGGTTAGCAAAAGTCTTCCCGCTTTCATTTGCAGTTGTTTTGGTTCTTTTGTTAATTGTACACACGTGTCACTCAATGGAAGGACATTGCCATCATTTCATATAATCACCATGGGATTGTGCATGTAATGTACGATTTGCCTGGGGAGCTTGGGTGAAAGTGGTGATGGTGCATTCGACACTTCAAGAGCAATTATGGTAAAAATTACGGTCATGTATTCGGTCAACAAAGTGTAGGGTGGGTAAGCACACTTTAGGGTTTTCTGTATTAGTTGAAAATGGATTGTTTGCTCCTTGTATAACCCTTACGTTGTTTTTGTATTCCAATGATGCATCAATTGCCTACCAACCCATAAAGTATGATGAGAAAATGAAGAATATAAGATCCCTCCGTCCAGAAGGTGAAGATTTGCTTGAAAGTCATGATTTTGAGAAGTGGACATTACACCAAGATGGAGGGTACAAGTACGACATCATAACGAAGAATATGGGTGAGAACCTCAACGGTTTGTATATTGGACTCCGTTCGATGTCAATATTAGCACTCGTATTACATACCTTCTTCCGGATCTTTGAGTAATTTGTTTAGTGACACCAAAAGGCCATGAGGATGCTTGACGATGGATTCATCATCCTAAGAAAGATCACAAAGGACATGGATGCATGGAAAAAATTATCCAATTTTCATAAAATGACTTTGTTCAACTGGCAGGATGGGGTATTTCTATAGAAAGTGAAAGGTCTGCTGGTCACAAAAGGAGGTAATACTCAAAGGATCAGAATTGATACTTTGGGTGGAGTTATTGGAAGTTTCAAGAAGGACCCTTGCCTTGTTCTCATGCCTATGTCACAACCAAAATAATTCACATGGTCCTCCTTCACCTAATATTTATATATCTAAACTAAACTTATTCTAATATAATATACTCGTAATTTAATCTAATTCTATTCCTAATTAAATTTAATTCTATTCGTAATTTAATTAAATTAAATTATATTATATTATTCAGCTAATAAAAAACTATAGAAATAGTTTGAAAAAAACTTACCTCATTTGTCCAAACTGCGTCAATCCGATGGTGACCATGCCCCCAAAGAAGTTCCGGATCCATCGGAGCAGTATCGATTGTCGCAGGTGGTGGTCTCATCGAACAAGGATCGATAAGCCTAGGATCTGGAAAAAAAAAATAGAACATAAAAAAATTGTCGCCGAAAAAAAAGTCGCCGCCGACGAGATTCCGGCCGGCGGCGGCAAGAAGCCCGACACTCACTCCTGTAGCGTTCGCCGCCGCCGCCGTCACCGCCGCCGCCACGACGCCCTCGCCGCCCTCGGTCTCTTCCTCTGCCGCCGGGCGCCTGCTGCTGCTCGTCGTCGGACATGCTTGCGCCGCCGCTGTAGATGGGGCGCCTTCGCCGAGATCCTAGCGCCGCCGCCTGAGACTGAGGCTCTGCCCTCTTACTCTCGACGTCACCGCTCTTTCTTTTGGCGTCGGCTTTGGGATGGAGGAGGTGAAGGAGGAGGGAGGAGTGGAGGGTCGGGGTTTGTGTGGGTGGTCCTGGTGCGAGAGGGCAGGGAGGAAGGGGATAAGAAAATAAAAGGTAATAGCGACGGCGCCCGAGTCCCAGACTTTGGCGCTGTATTAAATTTTGAAAATTTCAAACAGCGCCAAAGCCTGAGACTTGGGCGCCGTCGCTAGCTTTACTCTTAAAAACTCGATTTTCTAAGTCTCGGGCGTCGTCGTTGTCTCCATCAAAACACAATATTCTTGTAAATAGTTTTTAAACCACTATATTCGTGGTAAATTAAAAAAAAACAATATGTAGGGAATTTACCCAATATCCAACACCATTATGTGATTTTCAGCTATTCTTTTATTACGGAAAACGAGAGAGAAAGGAAAGAAAAAGGATGAAATAATACAGGGTTTTCTATAAAAAAAAAAGGAAAGGAAAAGGAAAAAGATTGTGCCGAACAGGATATAGTTCTACCTAACCTCGCACAAAAACACTGCACATTGCATGATTTGCCACTTCCCACTATTTTTCAAACTTGGTAATTGAAATTAGCTTCTTTTTTTTTAATCTTTTTCCTGCAATAATTGCCAGTATGATATCTGCAAAAAGATTCGCGTCTGCCTGCGAGACAAAATATTTATTTTGGTTAAAATATTAAAAATCTTTCCAATTTCAGCATTAGGAAATTGAAAAAAAAAAGACTCAGGTGATAATGCGAAGATGATAATATGTATCACATTTTATGTTTGAATTTTGAGTCTAACAATCAACAAATTCTTCATTCCTCCCCTCCCGTTTCCTTCCTTCCTAAATAAGTACGGATGACAATTTAAACTTGCTTTATCGGGTATTATCCAACGTGATTTGCACTGGCGCGGGTATTATCCCACCCGCAGTAGCGTGAGGCGGATATGAGTTACTATTTCCGACCTGCTCCGCCCCATTATTGACTCGTTCTATCTCAATTTTCTTCAACATCTTCCTGTATTTCGCCTATTTCGATCATAGTTTCGCCCAATGAAACTTTAAATAGGCGCAAGACTTGACTTTTCAATTATATAAACTCTATTACTCCTATTATCACTATTTTTCGTTCATGAAGTGTTTTCCTTTGTTCTATTTTCTTCAAATAATATGTGAGAATGTGTCGACCCGTCACGTCCCGTACCTACACGGGTATTACACAACCTCACTCACACTTGACCAGATAAATATGGATATTGAGATACTCGTCATGGACACCCTTGTTTGTCATCCCTATAAACAGGAGTAAGAGATCATACGTGAAACACAACTTTACGTGAGGATATGATAGAAAAATAGTGATGAACAGAAGATAATATTATCTTGGAAGAATCCAGAATTGAAGTGGTCAGAATCAATGAGCTCGCCAGGCCAGCTCGCTTCGCTATTATTAATATCATATGCACTCACAAGGGGCATGTGATGTTAATGCATACATCGTGCTGCACGCAGGCGGCGAGTTTTGGAAGGATTCGGCCGGCAGGCGAGAAAGCAGCGGATAGGGCGCTGGCGGGACCAAATGCAACTGAGGCGAGGTCCAAGTTGTTATTCCTAAATTTTTTTAATGCTACAATTGTGTACGTTAACAAAAAGACCTGAGTACCAATTAGTGATCATTCCTAAAAAGTTGTAGCATAAACTCGACCTATATCATGACCTAATTCATAAACTGCGAGCTTCAGCAAGAGTTTTCTCTATGCGTGCTCTCGAGTTCATAGGCATTATCAATGTTGTCAGAATCGAACCGGAGCATGACCCGGTAATGCGAATGGTTCGCACTTTAGTGATCCAACCGGCATTAGACTGTTTAAAAACTGTTAGAGAACCGATACCTAATAAACGTTATCAGTACAAATAGTGGACATTTCTAAATCAGAGCTTTTCTCTTTCCTTCGAAATTGTGAAATGGAAATAAGGATTTAGTTTGAGAGCTCGACGTTTTTGGTTTATTTCAATTTTCAATTTTCTGCAAAATTTTAATTAAATTTAACCTCTGAATGGCAAAAATCGGACGAGCAACTCGATCGGCTCGAACGGTTAACCACCTCGGCTGCTCGTCAACCGCTACATAAAATCGAAGTAACTTTTAGACTGTTTCGCGCCAATTTTGTGACCGGGTGGCGGTTTTACCGGTCGGGCCAAGCAGCTCGAGTCGGCTTTAATACCACTGGGCATTATGTATATAATGTTTGAAACACTGAAAATCCCAAACCACCGGATCCATGTTCACACAGCTTACAGCTACACACGAAATCGAAAAATCTACGTAAGCAAAACCACTAATATGAATCTTCTTGGATTCATGAAGAATTAGAATGATTTACGTAACAACGTTCCTAAAACAGCAACACAATAATCCCCAAAACCCGGGCAGACAGAGAAAAAGATTCTGCACAAGGATGGGCAGCATGCAGCGGCGCCATTTTAGGAGCCTAGCCTTGCTGCAGCCTGCAAGTCCTTACACTACAAGTGCTGTACAAAGTACAGACCAGTCGTCATATTCCAAAACTGGAGCACCACAAAGAAATTCCCCATCGCGGGTTAAGGTAAGAAACTAATAACCAAAGTGCTGCACCAGAAATTAGCAGCATCTTCAATCTTTATGTGTTTGCTTGTATGACAGCAGTACGCCGACCACTGCTTTCATAGTGACAACTGTTCCCTCCCGTCAACCAAATTTACCTCAACAAAGTAGAAGATGGCCCTTCAACATTGGCATTATGTATGCATTAAGGCACGAAAGAGTCCCGTGAAGCAATTGCATGATTCTGCAGGAGAGATTATAAGCAAATTTGTCGGAATGGCCCAATTATCTTCTCAATCTCGTCTACTCCCATGAAAGGTGGGTTAGACGCAAAGAGCTACTGCCAACCATACTGTTGGTTGCGGTTTGAACCACCACGCCCAGCACCGGAACCTCCATAAGGACCAGGACCAGGCCCAGGACCACCACCTTGAGGAGGATAATTCGAGCCATATGGAGGGGGGCCTCGGGCTTGTGGAGGAGGATATGGCCCACTACCGTAACCACGATTCAGGTGACCTTGATGATACCGGCTGCCTGGCCCACCACCAGCAGGGCCACGAGGCTTACCATAATGGTGCCCTGACGCTGGAACTGGAGGCTGAGAACCATGCATGGGTTGATTCCTCATTTGTGCATTATGCCCAGATTGCTGAATCGGAGGAAGGCCGCGGCTAGGATGATGCTGAAGCTTCTGACGCTTTGCGTTCTCTTCGTGCTGCTGTCTTTGCTGCTGCCGCTTTTTCTTTGTCTGGAACTCGTGAGACGACTCGTATTTGGGCAAAGTCTTTGGATCACAAGGCAATGGGTCGGTCCAGAAATACTCAGCGTCCAGCGCATCCTTGGCAGATATCCTCTGATATAAGTTATGACAAAGATTAAGCAATAACTCGATATAAATTTCATTAAAACAAACATTATCAGCCACACAAAAGAAGGAATATCAAGCTCAAGTCACAATGCACAAGCTAATCAAAGTCAAGTTCACAATCTCATGTAATACAAAGTTTGAGCACTCATTGAGGACTAAGGAGGCAAAATAATGCAATAAACATACCTGCTCAGGATCAAGAGTTAGCATTTTTTCCAGCAACTCCACAGCATGACGATCACCACAACTGCAACACAGAAACAGATGATAAGAGAGTCTAAACCATAATGCACGCAAAGTGAAGCTTAAAAAAACGTGAAGCACAATGCACAATATATAGGCAATAATAAGAAAAGTGATGGCGCTCACTCTCTGAAAAAATCCCCGAGTCGTCTCTTGATTGGCCTTGAAGGCTTGAAGTTGTTATACAAAGGAAGCTTAGAAACAGTAGGCCAGTTAACCTCATCGGGTGATCCGCAAAGCTCAAAAATCTTGCTTATTAGTTCAGGCTGCAACAATCAGATGACCAAGAAACAGGTAGATTGAACCCATTTAAATCAAAGAACTGCCAACTGCGCACACAGAAAAAAGAAAAAAAAAAACAAATACATGGCCATCTCTCTTACCATCTTTGTCTAACTAACAGACACAAATTTGTTCAAGTGAAGAACTATTACCATACCTCAAAGCTCCAACACAAACATAAACTGATCCTCAAATACTAACAGGAGATTAACCGTGGACAAAACGAATCACATTGCCTCAATTATTTCCATATAAATATCAATAAATAATGTAGATGATTAGGATTTAGCAATCAACACCACATATGCAGTTACCTCATTACTCCCAGGGAATAAGGGTTTCCCATGGAGAAGCTCGGCAAAGATACAACCAACAGACCATAGATCAACAGCTGGACCATACTTAGTTGCTCCAAGGAGCAACTCCGGAGGTCTGCAAATAACCGGTACATATTTCTTTGTTACAGTTTCCTCACATTTTCCCATCCTTAGACCAACAGAAAGATAGTGGTTGTCTTTTGGAAGTCATGTTGAGCTAACCGAAACAAACTCTTTAAGGAAGGAAAGGTATACCTGTACCATAAGGTAATAACACGATTTGTAAGATTTGCATTATGATCACTCGAGAATGAGCGAGCAAGTCCAAAATCTGCAAGCTTTAGGTTGCCCTCATTGTCAATGAGAAGATTAGAACCTGCACAAAAGAACACAGTGATGCCCTGTTTCCCTTTGCTACATCAGCTGAAATGTACTGTTTGGTTTCTTTACCTTTGATATCACGATGAAGTACTTGATTTACATGGCAATAATGAAGCCCGGTTAAGAGCTGCCTCATGTAGCACTAAAAACGAAAAAGTAAAAAATAAAAAAGAGAACAAAAAAATAAGGCACGATAATGGGTCGATTTCAAACGTCGCCTAAAGTTTTACATTCACTATTAAACAAATCCACGCAGTCGTCAAGTTCCTGAATACCTTAATTTGAGGAACTGAAAATCTAATTTCAGGGTGATCTTTGAGGAATACCTTAATTTGAGGAACTGAAAATCTCATTCCAGGACGATCTGCAAGGCCAGTTAAATCATGATCCATGTATTCAAATACCATGTAGATGCCACCTCTATACTTGTTACCATCTGTACCCATGCAAAACACAGTGGTCAGAAATCATACAGCATCTTGGAACATACAAATTTTTAAATTGCTTTAGATGTGAATGTCAAATAGACATTCAAACATAAGTGTGACTGACACTAGCTTAAAAAAAACTATTTTAGGAGAGATCAGCCAAAAGACAAATGTTTTGACATAAAATGAAGGAAACTTGCCAGGTCGTCCTTGGTCTTCCTTCTCAGGACCTGTAACGTAATAACAATAACTTTAGATAGCTACACAAACAAATAAAGAATTCCAAGTAGGTGGTTAACAGTGTGTTACGGGAAAATTGGAGGCATCAAAAGCAATAACACATCCAAAACCCCAACAAGATTGGCAGCATTACCTGGAGATGTCACTATCTCTTTCAACTTTATTACGTTATCATGTTGGAGCTTCTTTAGAATTTTGATTTCACGAATGGCAGTTATAGGAAACTTCAAAATAAGAACAAAAAAAAAGAAGTTGCATCAATAGTTATACAGGGGTAGATCAAGCAGCAGATTAGTTTCATCTCATCACCATAACACTAGAGATTCAAATAAAGTTTATGGTCTAAAAAGCATTACCAAGAAAATGCCACTACACCTAGCAAGACATATAACTTACCCCTTCTCTCTCCTTGTCCATTCTTATCTTCTTCAGAGCAACTATTTCTCCTGTTGCTATCTCACGAGCCATGTAAACTTGACTGCAAGAAGAAGATAATGACAAAAAGCCGGAATCAAGTTTCTGTCAACAATTAAAACACCAAGAACCTTGAATACTGATTACTCCCTACGGAATTTGAGAAGTCATAGAAACAAGCAAGAGCCAAAACTAGAAAATCATATTTTGCAACAACAAACTAATACTGATTACAAAATGTTGCAGTATCAATATACTATATGTGTGCACTAGAATCAAACAAGTTCAAGCTATCTCTTCACTTGACATAACATTAATGCATATTCTAAGAGAAGAAGAGTGATTAGCCATTCAAAATCATTTCCTCCCAAACAGAGTAGCTATCTTGTTCCATATGCAAACCTAAAGATAGATGATAATCTATATTCTAGAGTACTAAGCTCAGCTGGTTTACTCAATAGAACACCACTAAAGAAAGTAGAAAAATCATGGAACATTTTAGCAAGACAATCCTCAACCATGCTAGAGAAGTCATTCCTCAAAATATGTTGTCAAGGAAAGATCTCTACAACACCACTGGAAAGGGTGAAGTTGTTCCCATCAGGACACAGCAAATTGTCGTAAAGGCAATGTTCATGACTGGATACAATCAGTCCCCTTTATCGTCTGACGAACATCTTCTTTGAAGGAAGGAGAGGAAAGAGAACATACCCATAGGTTCCCTCGCCAATTTGCTCCAACTTCTCAAAGTTATCAACAGTTCGGGATCCCCATGAAGAATACTCAGTCAGGTTGAGCTGACCAGGGGCAGCAATCGACATTACTCTTCAATCGCTACCAACCTTAAGAATTTATTCACTTGTATTTCTTCTTCTCCCTCCTGTTCAGCCAATAGATTGTAATTTCTAAAACCCTAAAGTAGGTAAAGGTTCAGAAAAAAATTGCGGGAACTTTGGTGTTTGGCAGTAAGAAGAGAATATTCCAGAGATTACCGGTGACAAAGTCGCGAAGGAAGAGAAGACAGACAACGCAGTAGCTTGCTCGGCTGCTTCGTAAACGGAAGCAACAAAGGCGAAACGTAGCTAAAGACACGATCAGGACTCCAGACTCTAGAGTCAGTGGCGAAGACGATTTCCGTAAAGAATTCAAGCCACGGGAGCAAGAGTACCTTATTGAAGGGTAACTGAGAGCTACGGGCTTTTTATTCACGAACTGAGAGACAGCCCACAGCGGCGGCGGCCGGCGGCCGGCAGGAAGAGGGGATGGACTGGCCGAGGCGGAGTGCAGAGCGACTGCCGGAACTGGCTTCCGGCTCTCGCGTCTTCCTTATTGTCACCCCCGCTTCGGGAAGTACTGCTCGCACTCGACGATTCACCGTCGAATTCAAGGATCGAATCGACAAATCGCCCGTCACGGACTCGCGGTGGTGGCGGGAGATACAGGTTTAGGGGATTCCGTATTTCCGTATCTTCAAAATATCACACAAATTAGTTCACGCACAAAAAAACTAAATCAATTTTTTATTTTGTAGGAAAAAAATAATTAATTTAGAAAAGGCTCAAAAAAAATTTCTCCTACAAAAATAAAAACAAGTGCAACGGAGAACTGATTGCTGAAACCGAACTCCTTATTCTTTGTGTATAATTTTCTCATACTTGTTTTATAATTTTCATTTTATAATTATCATTATTTATTGTTTTCCATATCTTTTTTTTCTCTATTTGAGAGTGTATCATATTTACTATATTTTTTTCTTGTATTTTTGGATTCTCTCTGTTAATTGCATTCGGCATATGGCATTGTACTATTGTAGAGTCACTAACTCCTAACTCCTAAGTCCTAACTCATATATTCTACTTCCCTAAAAAAAACTCATATATTCTACTAACAATCATTACGTTTTGATTTAAGATCAAAATAAAAGTACATGTTGTTGCATTTGAGGTTAAAATGTGAGGTTTCTAGTTCTCAAACCAAAACAGATCTAAATTGATGATTGGATATATTGTCTATACTTGTCTGATGTTTATAATTTTTTTTCCCCTTCAAAACTAAAGTGTGGTAAAACAAATATACTTTTACATTTTTTCCTCAACTTTTGACCTCACCCAACATGGTGATCCTTGTATAAATATTTGTTATCTTATTCCATATAAACCATATCGTGATTAGTACCGAACATAGCTCATCATCTATAGCTCTCTTGAGTAACTCGCACCACCATTCCTCACAACTCATAAGCTTGATCTTCTCTCAACCCGAAAACACCGAGATTTTTCCAGAAATAGCACCTTTAAAAAAAAAATTACAAAACTAGCACCCTCTCAAAAATATTTACAAAACTAGCACCCTTTTTTATTGACCGCACCCTCCTGATGCGATTTACCAATAAACCGCATCCCCCAGGTGCGTTTTATAAGTAAACCGCACCTGGAGGGTGCGTTCTAATCTGGTGGGCCTAAATCGCACCTTGGCCATGCGATTTCATGTCTGGCCTACATGAAACGCATGGCCGAGGTGCGGTTTAGGCCTGACCTACCTAAACCGCACCTTAGTGATGCGATTTATTCCTCCAATCATGAACCGCATCTGTAAGGTGCGGTTTCACCATGTAGATCGCACCCCCAGGTGCGGTTTACGTGTCAATTATTTTCCGACACCCGACACAGCCATGCAGAGAATTATGGACGTAGGGCTGCATGGCAGACTAAAACCGCACCCTAGAGGTGCGGTTTTCACAATTTTTTCCCCTATATAGGACTTGCCGGAAAACCTCTACTCTTCACACCTCTCATCATTCTCTCTTTCATTTTTCTGTTGTATATCTATATTTATTTAGTGTGTTTGCCATTAAGATTAACTCGTAAGTTTATTTTGTGTTACTTTTTATGCCATTAAGATTAACTCGTAAGTTTATTTTGTGTTACTTTTTATTGTTATTTGTGATTTATATGATATTAACTAAACTACGGTTTGTTTGTGTGCAGATGGCATTCCGTCAGTTAACGCTTGGCTTACGGTGGAATGGTTACACGGAAGACACCGGAAAGGGGGCCACCTACGTCGGTGGCAATTTTCAGAAAATAACGGTCGGTACCAGACCGAAGCTTGAAGACCTCCATCAAATATGCACTGACGTTACTTGCATGGATGGCACGAGGAGGGTAGATCGTATGGTGTACCGATACCCAAACAGAGCAACTGGGTCATTGTGGCATGAGGAATATACCATAACCACTCAAGATGACGTAGATTCCATGCTCGAATTCTTGAGGTCCAACAAATTGGCCAAAGCCGAGATGTTCGTTTACACCGAGCCAGCCGTTGGTCGTGGAGGTCATTCTGGACACGGTCAAACATCTGGTATCCATGGTGGAGGTGAATTATATGACGATCATCCCTACACCGGTTTGCCGTCGATGGGCAGATGGGTTAGGATGGCGACATCCTTTAGCGTGATGGTGGCCTCTCCTTCTCTAAAGTTGAAACAATGGGTCTCCTTTCTCCATCTCTCGGCTAATGCGGTGATGAGTTGACGATCGATTTGGATGCCGTTAAAATGCCTAATCGAGTCTAACCGTGCCCTTTTGAGAAATGGCAAGATAGCGGGGTGGAATGGGAGCACATTTGTGGTACCCCTGTAGCGGATTATTGTTTGTGCCTCCTAGGAAAAATGTACACGTTAATTATTATTAGTAAGGGTTTTTTTTCGTATAACTAAATTAATTTAATTAAATTATGCGACATAAAACATAATTTTATTATCATAAAAAGACATTTCATATTATCATAAAACATTGTCAATGAATAATAATTTAAAGAGGTACATACATATTATCGTAAAACAAACATACTGAATTAATTAACATAAATAACATTGTTAATGAATAATAATTTAAGTAGAAACATACATATTCAAATGTTTGTGTAAATAATTTAATCGTATTAGTTGTTTTAAAGAGGTATATACATATTATCGTAAAACAAACATACTAAATTAATTAACATAAATAACATTGTTAATGAATAATAATTTAAGTAGAAACATACATCTTCAAATGTTTGGTAAATAATTTAATCGTATTAGTTGTTTTAAATAATTTAATCGAATACAAAGCAACACTCGTTAGACTCTTAGAAGAGGTATACATCTTCTTAGAAACGCAGTCTTTTTGACAGAAAAAGGGGGGATCCGAGGATCTCTTAATACCCGATTTTCCCAGGTAATGGGAGGATATGATAATCGCTTAAAACCCCATTTCCTTAGACGTGCATCTCTTTATAAAGAGTCGAAGTAAGTGGCGCTATGTATTCGATTAAATTATTGAAAACCACCAACACGATTAAAAAATAAACATAAATTTATTTTATATTACACTAGGCACATTAACAAAATAAAAGAAGGACAAATGGTGAAGAATTGTATGTACCGGGTGATCGTTCCAAACATCCCTTGACCGATGGTTGGGTTGGTCGTACAAGTCGGTTGGATCCACCGGTCCTTGCTCGAGATAATACCGTTGGTTGTATATATCGACGTCCTCCCCAACCTACGAGAAAATAACAACGAGGTTAGTACATAGATTAATTAAAAAACTTATAACAACAATAAAAATTAAACCAGAATAATGAATACATACCGCTTGAAATTCATCGACATAAACTCCTTCTCCTTGCCACCAATCGGCCATTTTTTCGGCGTAATTCGGACAGAGCTTCGGCTCGGCTCGGCGGGTTTTTGAGGAAAAAACCTAAGAAATATTTTCTGATGGCAGATCGGACTTAGCCGCAACCAACAGACTTTTATTTCCTAGGCTTTTGGGAGGGGAGGGTTTAGAGAGATTATATCTAGAGAGAGAAGGAGAATGGGTTGTGTGGAGTGAAGAAATGAGAGGGGGAGGGGGGGTATTTATACCCAACAGATCGCACCCCTCGGGGGCGGTAGGGTAATTTTACCCCGTAGAAATCGCATCTCCCCGGGGCGATCTCCACGCCAAATCGCATTCCCCTGATGCGATCCCCGCGTCCCGATGCGTTGAACGCGCAGAAAACTGACGCTCCAATTTTCCAGGCGAGAAATCGCACCTCACCAGTGCGATCCACACTCAGTCGCGCGGATTGCTGACGTGGCTATGCTGCAGCCCGTCAGATCGCATCGTAATCGTGCGATCCAGAAGGTCGCTGGCGACCAAAGTTGGAACGCATCTTGGGGATGCGTTTTGCCATAGAAATCGCATCTTAGGGATGCGATTTATGAAGGAAACGCATTCTAAGGCTGCGTTTCATATATAAAACGCACCTCTAAGGTGCGTTCCATTAAAATAGGTGCTAGTTTTGTAATTAGTTTTGGAAGAGTGCTAGTTTTGTAATTTTTTTTAAAGGTGCTATTATTGGAAAAAACTCGAAAACACCCGGATAGTGTTTGGTCTCTATCTCTACACTTTTGTAATGTGTTTTTGTGTTTTTGGTTGACGGCGAGAAGAGAAGAGAGAAGGAAAGGGGGCTTTGGTTAGAGAGAGGAAGATTTTTTTTGGTCCCAAGAGAGAGGAAGATTAGGTTTATAGAATTTTTATTTTCTAATTGTTTAATGAGAAAATTTAACTAATTACAGAATATGAAGCCCGTTAAAACCCACAAACTACCGCATACGAATACTTCCTAACCAAAACACTCAAACACTCCCAAAAACCCCTAAAATGCATACTAAGTAATAAAACATAAATAAACCGACAAATTAGTCCAAATAACAAAATTACTCAAACTCATTTTTCTAATAGTTCTTCCAATTCCCGCAATGTATTCTTCGCTCTTCCTTTTATCTACCCCACCAGAATTCAGCTATTAGCTTTGAATTTCCTTAACGCTCGGATGAGGAAAACTAACATAGCATACATGTGAGATTTTGTGCAATCGCCTTAAAGTCAATCAATTGACTTCAAACACTACAAATTTACTCAAGTATGCATCCGGCACACCAAGCTTATCATAAATTTTGGATGGAAAATGTAAGGAATGTACTAACTAAGGGTCGTTTGTTTGAGTCATTTGTACGAGTCATTTGGTATCAAATGATTCAATTGAGTCATTTGATGTCAAATAACACGTTTGCCAAAGAAAATGACAAACACCATCATTTGTAATTAGCTTAAAATTCGAGAGTGATGGAGACGTTACATTTTATAAAGAAAGTTAAAAATAGATTTATTATTTAAAATTAGCAAGTAATATTATACATGACAAACACCCAAATAATATGTTTTGTTGATTTCAAAATAATTTTATTTATGTGGTTGGTTTTATTAGAATAGAAAACAAGATAATGGAACATATTGATTAAAAGTAAGGGCAAAATGGTAACTCTATATAAATGACTCATTTACAAAATTTTAAACAATAATGTATTTGTTAGGTCTATCTTCACAAATGTCTATATTTCTCAAACGCCATCAACTGACTTTTTGCAAATGACTCATGCAAAATTGCAAATGATAAAAGTAGGCCCATATAACGGTCACATCCACCTCTTCCCTCCACTTTTTACTCGCATTGCATCTCAGTTTCACCTCTCTCCAAACTTCCCTACAATTCACCTCATTTGGTGCGAGAATGAAGAAAGCCGCAGGAGAAACTACTGGTGGCAGCTTGCCAGCTTCCATTGCGTTCATTGCAGCGTCAATATTGGCATTCTGGTTGCTGAAGAAAGCCAACAAGACACGATAAGCCCCTTTGCACCCCGGCCCACGCGGATTACCAGTAGTAGGGCACTTACCATTTCTAGGCACCCATCTCCTCCACAAGAGCCTCACAGAGCTGGTCCGAGTTTACGGCCCCATCTACAAGCACTGGCTCGGAGACTAAATCTATGTCGTGATTACCTCACCATCGCTGGCCAAACGAGTCCGCGATACGTAACATTCTCAGATGAGACCTGAAGGTCTTCGCTCGAGAGCTATTGAGCAGCGGCAGGCTCAATGCTTCCTACAAGCTGAGAAGGCTATTGAGGATGTGGACCAGAAGGACACAGGTAAGGTAAAAATTTGGACTTCTCAGCCAATTGGCATTTGTGATTGTGACCATATCCAACTCTCTTTTTAGCATGCCATGGGATAGCACCACACATGGAGACCTGATTTCAGCACTCGGCCGGTTTGACCTGCGCAGAGGGTGGGGAGGAAATCCAAGGAGACATTGCAGAGTTTGGATCGAACTCTGAGCTCCACAATTGTGGAGAGGCGGAAGCTAAGGAAAGGTGGCGACGACAACAGCGTCGACAAAGAGGCACAAGACTTATTGCAACTTATACTAGACCTCAACAACCATGGAGATCAGGCTGCTGATTCGTCAATTACAGACAACCAACTCAAAGGCCTTCTCAATCTCATGGTAAAGTATGTTTAGGCGATTTCATTCCTTTAATCTTCTTAAGTGCAACTGAACTTAGCTAAATATTCCATTCAATTTGAAGGACGTAACAGAAAAGATGACTAAGCGTGTATACCAATGTATCTCTGTAGCAGTGTAGCAGGATTCTATCATCGGTGGAACAGACACAACATCGACCGCAATAGAGTGGACAATGACAGAGCAGAGCTGATGCAATATTCGAACGCAATGCGAAAAATATGCAGAGTTAGAAGAAGTAGTAGGAAGAAGCAATGTCGTGGAGGAGTTCCATCTCCCCAGATTACAATACCTAAATGCGGTTATCAAGGAGGCATTCTGGCTGCATCCAGCGATGCCTATGTTGGTGTCACGTCCTACCAAGGACTGCAGAATAGGTAGATAAACCATTCCTAAGAGAGCCACCGTGTTCATCGTTGCTTAATTGCTTATGCAATGTACATCCACAGCTCTGGGACGTACAGTCCATTGGAGTTCAGGCCAGAGATGCTCAATTACATTCTAGCATCACTGCTCCACTCATTCGAATGGAAGCTAGCTCATGGGTCGACAGAGGTGGATTTGACTGATAAATTCAGAATCGTCATCAAGTTATCCAGAGCTAAACTATTGCTAGAACCCAAATGAAAACAATGTCTGAAGTTCTATGCTTTCTATTGTAAAATCATCACTGCATATAAATTATCCATCCAAGCTATCTTAGCCTGCAATGGCTTTCCCCAGAATCAATGCAAGTTCAATTACTTAGGGAAAGAAGTCAATCGATTCCAATTTAATTCAACAAATAACGAGGAACAGAGCTCTGGGTCAATTCCATCAATGGAGTTTCCATGAAAAGGATCCAGATTTGCAGAGAGAAATGCAATGGCTGTTATGTATTGCATCAGAGAGATATTCACAATAGCATTTATATGGTGATTCCTCCCGTCAATTGAAGGGGAGGAAAACGGAGAAGGAAAAAAGGGGGAAAATGGCATGGAAAATCAAAACTGAAGAAGAATTTTTTGGATACCTACAGATCTAGGTTTTCGCCGCCGCCCGGGGAAAAAAAAAGCTAGGCCTTCACAGCTCCGGGATCTTCAGTGGAATCCCATCTCGATCCCATCGTCATCATCATCTTAAACTCTTCGAAATCAATCGTCCCGTCGCCATCATTATCGACGCCGCTGATCATCTTGCGGCACTCGGCGATGGAGCAATCCTCGCCCAGGCTGCCCATGACCTTGTGCAGCTCCTCCGCGGTAATCGAGCCGTCGCCGTCGATGTCGTAGACGGAGAACGCGTCCCTCAGATTCACCATCGCCTCCTCGGAACCGACCCCCTGAGTGTTCAGCTCCACGAACTCCTTGAAATCGATGAACCCGTCGCCGTCGGCGTCGAACTCGGTGATCATTTTCTGGAGCTCCTCCTCGCTGGCGTTCTGGCCGAGGCTGGACATGATGGAGCCGAGCTCGGCGGCGGATATCTTGCCGTCGCCGTTGACGTCGAACTTGCGGAAGACTTGCTCCAGCTCCTCGACCGAGCACCTCAGCATCGGCGGCGGCGGGGAGCGAGATCCGGCGAAGGAGGCCACCGCGGCGGGGGAGTCGTCGGATGAGGCGGATTTCTTGGACTTCTTCCGCTGGAAAAGAGCGCGGAAACCCATGATCGGGAGAAGTTCGTTGGCAGCTCCGGCGGTGGATTGGGAAACGAAATCGGGAGGAGGGGAAATGGGAAAGGAATTGGATTCCGAATTTTCGCTGGCGGAGTAGTAATCGGAAGGATAACGGAAAATGGATTGGGGATTTTTTTTTCTTCTCGGTAGAACGAATTTTCTGGTTGGTTTTCTGGGACAGAGGATTTTTTTTTAAAATATATATTTGGTTTGATTTTGGTGCCAGGTTTTCAGGAGGGAGAGAGAGAAGAGGCAACCGCCGATTGGACTGGAAATCGTTCCACAAGGCTAAATCAGCGAGAAGTACGAAAGTGTAATTTAAAAAATTAATCGCGGAGATTTGCCATTGTTAATCTCATGATTTGATCATTTTCTGCCAAAAGGAACTTTCCGAGATGAATGATTTGTCCGCCAAACAAGGGAAGGGTTCCCACGTTGTTCTGATTAACATGCTAATCAATTATCTAACTACAAAAAACTAATATTGTAGGTCATACATGTCGATATTGCACTAGATCTAATTCTTAGTTGAATGCACATCATTCAGCGTATTATGAGGTTGAACAAATATAATATTTATTCGACTAAAAATTATTATTTAGACGATTCAAATACATGGCTAATTACGATAACAAGATTTTACAGGTATGTGCCAAAGAATCTATTATGAAGGTGATTGGCAATATGCATTTGTCCCAAAGGTGGTGGAGGAGTATAATTTCTTTGTATTATTTTCATTAGTCATTTATTGTATATATATTATACCAGTATCATCTCTATTTATGAATCTCATTGCAAATGTTATATTATTTGTATTGGTGAATCTAAACACGTGTATGTGATCGACATATGATTTTATAAAAGAAAATATTTCGTGTATGATTTTGATATTAATTATCAAGCTATTTTAATGATGGATACATGCACATACGTTTGCAGGTAATCTGATCTCTTAAATACATGAACAAACTAGCTAATAGAGTATTGCAATTTGGACCTACAATGCTACACCATTGTTGATCACCACCAATATAGTAAGATGTGAAAATTTCTAAACATATACCGTACTAGTCTCATTTCTTGACAATTTACTGGCTTCACAAATTTAACCTAGAATATTTCAAACCATCTTTAGATCTTACACAATACTTTCAACTACCAAATCAAAGTATACGAGTGAGCATATATGGGATATTGGGGATGGAGCAAACTGTTGGGATTCATTGGATCTTTGAAAATTTGAAATGATTTTTCATTCTATATGTAATGAATTATTTATTTAATTTCCTAATAACCAGGAAACTTTTATTTATTTTATTTATTAACTTAGATTATGAATTCCGAGTTGGAAGACATGTGTCAAGCACTATCTTATTGGTATCATTATTTTAACTGAATGTTAATTACTCTACCATGCATGTTTAGTGCGACATGTCTCCGGAAACTATACAAGAATGGCCAAATCGGTCAAACATCTCCATGTACTGCCGATATTTTTTTAATAAGTATTATATATGTTTAGTTTTTTTAGTTTAGTTACGGGATTTGAATTGAAAACCTTTAGATTCTAGACTTGTAGTATTATCACTAGAATAAGTATTCACAATCAAATGAAGAAGATTAGAAGACAACTTGTCTCAACTTTCCCTTATTCCTTTCTCTTTGTAATTTGCGGAGCTCTCTCCATATCCTAGTCAAGTATATTTGGTTGAGGAAAAAGTTGAGCATCTCTTTGTATTTTGTGAAGTGGTTGATATGGTTGTTTATGTGTTTGGTTGATGATATGGGACTTGTTTGAATTATGACTTGAAGTGAATATTTATTATTTACTTTGAAATTTTACGAGTATAAGTAACTCACCTTCAAGAAGGTGAAGTTGTTTTAAGTGTTTTTAGTCACTAGCATCAGTCTGTCGCCATTTGAGATTTTCAGATAAAGCAGCAGTTATGCTCTTGAGATCTTTGAGACAGAGCATCAGTTATGCTCTTGAGATATTTTAAGTTGAGCAGCAGTTATGCTCTTGAGATTTTTAAGTTGAGAGCAGTTATGCTCTTGAGAATCGTGGAAGAAGAGCCTTCCACGATAAGTTTAAGGAAAGTCTGGATGGGCTCTCATACGTATGAGTTGGCAACCGGACTAGCTAGTGAGGGAACCCAGTGTCAGTCAAATATTTAAGTCGAGATTTGAGCTTTAAGAGAGAAGAGTAACTTTAACTCCCTCAAAGTTTAAGAGTTAAGATTTTAAGATTGGAAGTACAAACAACTTCCACCAGTTAAAGTTAAGTGTTTAACCAAAGTACTCAAGTATAAGAAACTTTAAACATAAGGGCGTAGACTGACCCCATCTCACTCACCAGGCCTTAGTAAAGGAATGAGCGAGAACCAGATCAATAACAGCTAGCTAGAGGAGCAGTTAGAGAGCAACGTGATCGAGAGAGCCGCTCGAGGCAAGCCGGCTAGAGGTGGATAGTACAAACGTCACTGGATGTGCCAGAGATCGAATCTGAGCAAACAACAAAGTAGAGTTTTAGTTATTGCTTTACGATTATGAGTAGTTACTGGAGATTCAGATTAAGAGTTTTGTGTTTGAGGTTTGCCCAAGTGTTAGGGCTTTGTTTTAAGAGATGTAAGTTTAATTTTAATATGATTAAAGTTATTTATGAAAGTTTTCCTTTATTTTTTTTCCAAGTCTTTTTTTGTTCAAGTTTTGATTTACCCTTTATCAAGGGTATTTTGGTAAAAGTAGTGTCCGACCGGACTAGGGTGTTTCATGGCATGGAAGGCATTCCTTTGAAGTATCTCCCAAGTTTTGTCGCCACAACAGATCCAAACGACATCATGTTCCATTTCGTCCTAGAACAAACTGAACGAGCTCGAAATGCATCGGCATTGATTTTCAACACATTCGATAAACTAGACCAAGAAGTCCTCTAGTCTCTCTCCCCAACCTTCCCTCCAATCTACACACTCAGCCCTCTCCACCTCTTGAAAGGCCAAGAAATCGGCTTGGAGTATCTTCAATTGAACCTATGGAGAGAAGAGACCGGTTGCCTCGAATGGCTCGATCAAAAAGTACCCGACTCGGTTGTCTACGTCAATTTTGGAAGCACCACGGTCATGACATCTCATCAATTGGTCGAGCTCACTTGGGGACTAGCGAGTAATAACAAGAATTTCTTGTGGGTCGTTAGTCCTGACCTAATTATTAGGGGCAATTCCGCGATTCTTCCCCAAGAGTTTCTGGACGAGACCAAGGAGAGGGGGCTATTGGCGAGCTGGTGCCCTCAGGAGAAAGTGGTTAAACTCCCATCGGTTGGAGGGTTCTTGACGCATTGTGATGAAATTGGACGCTCGAGAGCTTGACGAGTCGCGTGCCCATGATCTGCTAGCCTTTGTTTGCAGATCAACAAACTAATTGCTAGTTTAGCTGTAACAAATGGGGTGTTGGACTTGAGATTGACAGTGTTGTTACTTTTTACGAGGACTGAGGTTGAGAGGCTTGTTGGGGAGTTGATGGATGGAGAGAAAGGGAAAGAGGTGAAGAAAAGAGCCTTGGACTGGAAAAAATTGGCAGAGGAGGCAACTGAAGATGAGATTGGGCAGGCTTATCTGAACTTGGAAGATATGATCAGTAAGGTTCTATTGAGTTCCGAGGAGAAGACAAATTGAAGATTGTAGGGATTCATTCACAGGATAAATTTGATACGAATAAGGTGTGGAATGGTTCCATGAGAAAATATCGGTATACCATTAATATATATAAAGAAGAAGTGAGGTTACTATTGCCTAATGAATTACAACTTAGTACCTCACTTCTTCTTTATGTATTAATGTACATTTTAAAATTTGATACTCCAAATTTAATTAAATTACAACTTAATTACTACAACGTATATTTTATATTTTGATACCCCAAATTAATATATATATATAGAGAGAGAGAGAGAGAGAAGAAGTGAGGTTACTATTACCTAATAAATTACAACTTAGTACCTCACTTCTTCTTTATGTATTAATGTATATTTTAAATTTTGATACTTCAAATTTAATTAAATTACAACTTAGTTACTATAACGTATGTTTTATATTTTGATACCCCAAATTTAATTTTAATGTATACTCATTAAATAGTTATGTTTTGGTATCTAAATTTTATGAGATTTTCATACCTACAGTTTTTTTAAATTTAAATATTGATCCAATGTTTAGATTTCACTTGAATCCATAAATCCAATCCACCAATCCTTTTGAACCAATCCATGAATCCAATCAACCATGACATAAAAATATAAATTTAGTTTGTACCATATATGATGTTGTCTCACTCAACTGTAGAAAAAGATTCGACCATTTTATATTTGCTCATTATGTGAAACATTAAATAAATTATAAAAGAGAGATGACTCTAAAATTGCAAGAGCGAATTTACGGGGTACTAAACAAACTTCTACTAACTACATGTAACAAAATATGTGACATCTGCATCAGCAAGTGTCAATGAATTGCTACGGTGAAAAGGGGTGGCTGCTGTATTGACGGCCAACTAAAAGAATTAGTCAAAACCTCTCCATCATCTACTTCATCTTCGTTTCATTTTTCATTCGCCTTACATAACCTTTTCTTTATTTCTTTCTTTGCCTTCTTCGTTTAACCCTAATTAAAATACTATTTTTATGCATTCTAATCATAAGTATGAAGGGGTCCATACACGACTCAACAACAGTCTAGAGAATTAATAATTGAACCATGAACCACTAACTTTTTAAGCTCAATGTCGAGTGCAATTAAAAATAAATATATATAATTATTACTTATTACAAAGTCGTCATCTTCCACTATGGGATTTAGGCGTGAAATTTTAAGCAAGTTCCAGTTTGTATTGCTTTTGCTTATCTCCAAAGTTTATTTTTTCACCCGGGATTGAATGTTTGGCTAGATATCTACACATATCAAATAAAAAGTAAATAATTATCATCTTAAGTACATAACCATAAAATAATTTAAGCCTCAACTATGCAAATTACAATTTGGTAGCTAAACATAATAGATCTTTAGATTTATAACCTAAATATATATACAATTTAACATCCAAACCTTTCATTTTAAACAATATAATAGCCAAACTTTTTCGAAATAATCGAATATCCAAATCGTCAACTTTCCGTCCGTTTGACCGTTAGTTGACACTTCAAAAAAGTTTGAAGTACGGCACTTCATCAATATCCATCGATATCTTCTCTGAAAACCACCAACATATCGTGGTTCCAAACCCGAGAAGTCCATGACTCCACCATGATGGTATAGAATATCTAAATATTCAGTCATCTGCAATGCCAAAACAAGAAAACAAAGTTGTATTGTGACAATTTCCCCTAAATAAAGCTTTTTTGAAGTGTCAACTAACGGTCAAACGGATGGAAAGTTGACGATTTGGATATTAGATTGTTTTCGAAAAGGTTTGGCTATTATATTGTTTAAAATGAAAGGTTTGGATATTAAATTGTATTAACCCTATATTTTTTTTGGCAAGTCCTCAAAACATTGATGGGACGTTACATTTTAGTATCTAAAATTTTGTGTATTATATTTTGGTACCTAATCTTTTGAAGTTCTATAAATAGGTCTGTTTGTTTGTATAATTAAAACACCCTCGAATAAATGGATATTCATACCCAACTCATACACATTTAGCTTATGGAAGTAAATATCCATACCCTACCCAAATCCATATATGCATCACTCATACCCTACCCATAATCAATGAGTCTACTTGGATTTATGTAAATATCATTTATTAGCCAAAATTTTCAAACAAAATTAAATTGGATGTTTACCGCCATATATCTCTTTAGTCAATACTAATTTTAGGCTAATAATACTAACAAAATACCATAACAGACCACATAATACATGCTCATAGGTTATCTCCGCCCCGCGACAAAACGCGGCATCGCCACATAGTAAGTTTTAATTTACGAGCTAAATAAAATTTATATCTTCTCAAGCTCTTATGTATGCTCTAAATAAAGGTCAATTTTTCTTCCATTTGCTGCATAATTACGTGGAGAACTAAATTTTCATCACAAATAAATTTATGAACACCACAAAAATTGGCATATACATAAGTATGGCTAGGAAAATAGACCAGATCGATTGAACATTTATGGACCAAACTGGACTGCATAGTTTGGTGCGGATTGTAGACCATTAAGAATGTTTTGGTGTGATACATGGAATGTATTATAAAATATGTTGATTCCTTGTTTTGTTCCATATTACGATTTAACCATACCAATTCGTGTTAGCAATTTGCTAGATCATTCTTTTAATCCCTCAACGAGACCCAAGTACCAACGCTAATTTTGAGAATCATGTTCATTTTTTTTCCATTCATATACCATACCATGCGATAGAGTTGAGACGATCGCGTCTCTATATGACATAATGTTAATGTTATATGACGTTATGATACAAGTTGGGTTGTCGTGACTTTGTGTTTTTGTTATTTACTTGGATTTATGGTATAAAAAGTATGCATGTGTGTTGGAATTTATGTTAAAAAAATAGATTTTTTTGTGTTATTGGTTCAATTTTTCGTGTGGTTGACTAAATGAATTCTTCATTTTTCGCTTAATATGTTCTGCAAGGTTTAGGTCGTACCAGACCAAAATACATAGGTGTGATCCGATATGGACTGTATAGTATTTGATCTGGTTGCTAAATTATACTCAAACTTCTCGATATGGCTCACTCATCTTTGTTTCCAGACCCCAAAGTCTTGTTGACTCGTACACTTAGCACACAACCACCTTTGATCCTTTGTTTTACCAAGTTTGTTGGTGCATATTGAGCCTTCTTGTGCATGCCACCATGATCACCATTTTTAGTTGACATATTACAGCCTTGTCCATCCTTTTCTGCCCTCCTAAATTCATGCACATAATGAGTGGCTTGAGCTCATTGCATAATGCATATTGTTTGACATCCCCATCAATCTATTCTTTGCCATGCTTTCACCTTTACCCAGCCATGTGCAGGTTGAACATATTGTAAGTTGTCTGACATGCACCTCAATCCATATTTGTTGGTTGGTGACATGCCCCCTATCCAAACTTCGGGATACTAATTTGCCCTCTTATTGAAGACTTTGACAAAGTGTCCAGTAAAAGATCACATCGAGATAGACCAACTTTTTTGGCTTTGAATTTTGGCATGTGGTCACCATCCCAACACTAAGAAGTATTTTTGGTAATCATCGCTGCAACATCTCTGGACTTGATGGAATGTGACAAATTATTGATCCTGCCAAGAAATGAGATGACATGCCCTCTGACAGCTTACCTAGATCAATACTGTCAAGTTCCCCATGATACTTCTCCATTTCAATATATTCAAAGATGTGTTGTTTACCACATTTGCAATTTTCGATCTTGCAAGACATACATCTACGTGTACTTCTTTCTAATGACTTGTACAAGCAATACCTAGCTTTTGAGAACTTGCAAACAATTGTGTTCACAGAAAAAGACACATTTACATTGTTTGCTTTAAACAACAATGTGGAATCCAAAGTGGGGAAGGATTGCCTATTGACATAGCACACCAACACTGTAAGGAAATCCACAGCCACAACAATAGTTAAACCATAGTACTAGGGATGGCAATTATGCCCATACCCATGGGTATTTTACTATCCAACCTAATTGGGTTGGGTATGAAATCCAAATATATGGATATGGGTAAAGTTTGATGGGTTTGTACCCATACCCATTTATTTTGAGTTGGGTTGGGTTTATAACAAATGGATTTGGGTTTGTACCCATGCCCAAATACAAATTACAGTTTGGTACCTAAACTTAATAGATATGCATATTTAGTACATAATTTTTTTTTTGCATATAAGTCCTCAAAATATCGATGGAAAATTACGTCTTGGTACCTAAATTTTTTTGGTCTTACAATTTGGTACCTAAAATTTTCAAGTTTTACAAATAAGTCCAATTTTTGCATGTGTAGTTAAGACACCCTCAAGTAAATGGATATCCATATCCAACCCATACCCATTTAGATAATATCCATATCTAACCCAAACCCATACACACATCACCCAAACCCTACCCATAATAGATGGGTCTACTTGGGTTTGGGCAAAATTACCCATGGGTGGGTAAATTGCCATCCCTACATAGTACAACAGAATTGAAACTACTCTAGTTAACCCACTAACAAAGATAAGACAAAATTGATAGCAGGATTATATGAAAATGGAGATGTATGTGATCACAACCGACGAAACTAAACCGCCATTGACGATGAGCATGAGCTTAAAGCTTGGGTAATCTATAGCCTGCTGGTCCCTTAATTCGTTCAACAAGAGAATAGCTGGCGTTAATTAATCAACCGAACACGCAGAAAAAGGATGAACCAAAGAGATTGTCTAAAACAGAATCCGAAAGGACGCTCTGCCATGAATCTGGTGAGGATCAAACGAGCTCTGAAAGGAAAAGCATGTAGCCAGCGGTGGCGACCATGGAACAAAAGCATGAGCTGAATCTGAGAATCCGAGTCGGCGACGGAACTAAAACCTAATTCCTACACTGAAAAAAGAGCCCTCCCCTTTTCTGAAAGAGAGAGACAACGCGATGGAGGAAGAGCAATGGAGCAAGAGTGAGGGAGACAAGGAATCAGGATTTTCTGCGATCGGAGAGTCGAGTCGTAGCTACAATAGATTCCTGAAAATAGCAAGGGTTGCGCAACCCTTGATACATAATCCTTTGCATAGGATTCTTTTCTTTTTGTAGTGTGATGGCGGCGGGGTTGTTGTGGTCTGGGGGTAGGGAACGGCGGGACTGGTGGTGGGAGGAGAGTTCGACAGCAGTCTCCTTCCAGGGGAAGAAGGAACGGCGGTAGAGGGATATGGTGGGATGGGAGGTCGATCGAGAGGTAGAAGGAAGTGGGAAGAAAGTTCGACAGCAGTCTCCTTCTAGCGTTGTGATGGACAAAACGACAGCGTTTAGAAGCACAAAGGAAAAGGGGAAAATTTGTACCCGCCGATGAGTGGTCGGCCCGATTGGTGGAGGAGGATCAAGGTGGTTGGAATTTTGGTGGTGATTTTTTGTGGGTTCATTTGGATTTTGATCGACTGCACAATTTGAAGAGACAAGGAAGGAGGATAATTGTTTTCCCGAGGGAAAGAGGTTTCAGCCTAAAAAAACCAAATATGACGAAATGCCATTGTCACAACACGAAACAACTATATTATGACCAACATTACATTTTGTCAGATCAGCGAGGGATTATTGTTCTCTATTGTGACAATCCAAATTGTCATTTAAACAATTCAGGAAGACATAATATGACAAACGATACTTTGATGATGACATTTTGTCACTTTATGTCTCTTAGATACCGATGTGGGTTACCTATTGTGACAAATCATATGGTGACACACAAATTTGGTCACATTATAGACTTTAACTGATAACGTATTCTGAAAAAAAAATATTTTGTCACATTAGGTGTACCAAATGTGAAATATAATTTTTTTTGTCATATTATAGAACCTATTATGACAAACGAAAAAATGACAAAAAATTTATTTTGTCCTAATAGGCCAAATTTGTTGTAGTGTAAGCTATTGGATATATGATGGTTGATATGTAAATAACTATTTTAATTCTTACTTAATGTGACACCCTAATACATATATTACTATTACTATTTTTAGTAACTAGTTATACTCGCCGGATAACCTTACTCATAAGATAATGATCTATATCTTCTCCGTTACTTTTAAGAGTATAGTTCAAAATGACTTATTGTCCCTCCCATTGACCATGACAGAACATGGAGTATTCAGTTTCACGTCACCCACCTCTCAGCCCTTACTGATTTAACTTAACTGTCAAGATACATCCGATATGCTATATCTTATTCAGTCAAATAAACATCCATTCATCACCACATGCCATATCACATTCATCATCTCAAACTCAAAGAATTCATAAGAACCATCACCCAGTCTCTTGAGAACTCACTGTTTAAACATGTATGCATCAAATATCATATCATACTGGCATTACCATGTAACCCCTGTCCCAACATAGCAAAACATCATATCATCCAATCTTAAATCATTGTATAAAACACCATAGAAAACCATCATCATCGACATGCACATTTCATATATCACATCATAGAAAGTCATCACTTAAACACATCATAAGTAATATTTATAAAATGATTTAATCACATGCATTGTTAGGTTCATTGCATTTACATCTTAATTTGCCAAGTTATACACTCCTCGGGTAGTATAGTAGATGGCATGCATACCACCACAGATCGTACTTGGATTGGTGTCCTATAAATCCACTGTGGATCATACCCTAACCGATGTCATGTATACCGGGGTGGGACGTACCCGGATCGGTGTCCTGTAAAACCAACGCAGGATTATATCATGACGATGTCCTGTAAATTCAGTTACTATACTGACTGCACAACAGAGCATATTTATGTTTGTATTAAGTTATCACACAATTCCAGTTACAGTCAGTCACATATTAAATATTGGAGGATAATGTGAAGTGAAGACAAAGGGTCTCCATAACTAACATTTGCTTTGATATAATTCGTACAATATTGTTGAAGGTAAGAAGTATAGCAGAATAGTTTGGTTGTACTTTGATATAATGGTGGAAAAGGCTAGCATACACTCGAGGTGTAATATGCACCTTCATTCATACCTATTAGTTGTATGCTAATATATTTTGACAAATAAGAATCGGTGATTATTATTTTTCATTAAATGAGTCGTACGATTTGGATTAGAGAATTAAAGACTATGTTTCACCTATTAGAGAATATGGTATAACATCATGTGCCAAACTCCGTTAATTCATGGTCTAAATACCAACTCTATAGGAGTACGGTAAGGTGGCGTACATGAGCTTAAACCATGTACAACTTATGAAGTTGACAATTGTTGGTCAATCAAAGATCCAATGGTCATGAATAATATTTTCCAAGCAGTGATGATGTTACATCGTTGTTTGACTTTATTGTCGATCATCATTAAAACCTAGAGTAAATGTAGCGCCCCTCATGTCAGATAAGTCAGTGATAATAGGTAACAATAATAAATAAATATGAAAAAGTAGGAATCTGATACCATTGAAAAAAATGACAAATAATAGAAGGAAAAGTACAAATAAATGAGCTCGCTGCCCATCGGGCGGGCACAAAACTAGTATATATAATTATGTTTATAGCTCCATTCACTTTCGGGAATAGATTGTTTCATTCACTTCTGGGAATGAAAATTTCTCAAGTGGAATATCATTTTCATCTTTAATGGAGAATATATAAATTTATAATACAAAATTTATTTTCAATAATATTGATATTGCATGAGCGTATATGAATTAGCTTTTTTCTTTGATTCTTTTAGATTGAGGTATTTTGCGTACAACTGGTACGAGACAAATGCATTTTCCCATTACAATGGTAACATACATAACCAATATTCTTGTTACCATGTCCACTTCTTTCTTTGCCCTTGGATTCTTCAATTTCCACTTCTGGGGAATATATGGGCTCTTGGAACTTGCATTTTCTACATATCAATGTATGATTGATAAGAACCGGATAACACGGAGAACTTAGAAATTAACTCATCACTTATATTACTTTTCTTGTTAATCCAAATAGATCGACGTGATAAAATATCAATGGATACAAGAAAAGAGTAGCACCCATATTGATATATTGGAATGAGATAATCTCAACACAAATAAAACAATAAGATAAGAAATGATATAAGATTTACATACCTTGATCATATTGTGATCTTACTCCAATATCTTAGATTATGTCGATAGTCTTTGAGCAATGATAATTATGGTAGAGCTTCGTGCTGATAACGTATTATAAAACTGATGAAAATATAAACAACTACAAGAGAAGACTAGAGAGGGAAAGACACAAGAGAAGAGAGGGGAAGAGTTCTTCTTATTCATTCTTCTCTTTTGATACAATAATGTGTTCTATTTATATGCACACTTTGGTAACCACTACATCCTTATATCAATGCAGCTGAATGAGAAATAATGATATAGGAATAGGGGTTACATGTAACTCCCAAGTGAGTATCTAATGTGATAGGTCATTGGTCATCCATATATCAATATTTACATAATAATTACCTAGGGGTACACATAAAATTACGAAACAAAAGGTAGTTAATTATGCAGTATCACTCCAGATAAGTAACACCACTACGACTACGTGCTTATAGTTTGATCAAAATTCCATGCATCTATTAAAATTAGAACTATTTTGTGCAAGGACTTACTTCCAAAGTGGACAATGCCTAATATGCCATTCATGCTTTAGCGTAGCTTGAAGGAGTGTTTAAGCATAGGAATACTCTAGGTATTTAAATAAATGCAGTATTTTATTTTCATTTATCTACCATTATATGCAGGCATGTATTATAAGTTGATTTACATAAATATTGTTAAATGAAAAATATTACCACATATATAATAGAAATAATTGTATTTATACGGATAGGAAAACGAGAATGCTACTCTCACACATACTGAGCGTAACGAGCTGAGAAAAACGTGCAGATGTTTAGCTCAGCCATTCATCATTCATACAATGTTGTACGCCATCGGGTAACAACCATGCTTTCGAAACAGAGATACGAATTACCCAGTTTGGTTCGGTCAACTCACCGGGACGGAACATACGTAAAAATCTTAACATGCTGAAAAACTAGATCGCATTGACGATCCACTCAAAAAAATATCATCTATTCAAAACTGATCAAATCGAAATTGATACGTAAGTTTATTGTATCACAAACTTTAACTTATACAACTTCCAGTTCGATTTTACAATCCTGGTCAACAACCGCTATGATTTGCAGCTGCAGAAAATCAAACAACAACAACAAAAAAAGGCCACACACCTGATTTCACCTCCAATGTTCATCCGCTCACAACCATATCCCTGACACATTTCAATCTTCTAGTAGCATCCACCATGTTCATCCGTTCACCTGGAGTTTCAGCTGAACAAGCCATCCCAACTTCAAGTACAGAAACTAGACAGCTCTGCATCTTCTCCATCCTCAACCTGCCATAAACCCTTCCCTTCCTCTCCCTTCTCCTCCCTTCTTCCTCCCCATCAATGGCGCGGAAAAGATCCGGATCTCCCACCAAACCAATCTCACCATCCCTGCCAGCCTTAACATAATCACGCAGATTCACACCATCTCCAAACATTTCATCTGTCGGCCTCTTCCCCGTGAACATCTCCAGTATAAGGATCCCGAAACTGTACACATCGCCTCGCTTCGACGCCGCGGAACCCATCCCATACTCTGCAATTTTTAGTTACCCAACAACAAGTACAGGTTCCGTTACAGACCGCGTCACAGACATTTTCTTCGACTGCCACTAACAACAATGAAATCATCAAAGGAATGAACTAACCTGGGGCAGCGTAGCCAATGGTTCCCTTCGCGCCGCTCGTGCTGCTTCTTCGAGAAAATGTGTCGTGGTCGCTCGAAACGAGCCTCGCCTGGCCGAAATCGCTCACGCGGCCGACCATGTCAGCATCGAGCAGGACGTTGCTCGGCTTCAAATCGCAGTGGACGATCGGGGTCTCGCAGTGGTCGTGGAGGTAGTGCAGTGCCGATCCCACATCTACTGCGATGTCTAGCCTTTGCGCCAGAGTCAGCCTCCTGGTCTCGTGGTGCAGCCAGTCCTCCAGGCTGCCATTCTCCATGTACTCGAACACCAGAGCTTTGAAATCGTTGCCTCCACGGTCCACGCTGGAGCAGAAAGACACAACCTTTACGAGGTTTCGGTGACGAATGCTCCTCAATGCGTTGCATTCCGCCGCTAGGCTCTTGTTAGCTCGATCGCGTCGCAGGTTGAGTACCTTAACAGCTACAGGCGCTTCGATTCGATCGAGCTTCCCTTTGTAGACTGTACCGAACCCGCCAGAACCTAGTACATTGTCGGGAGAGAACCCGTTGGTTGCTTCGTGCAGGTCGTAGTAAGAAACCCTCGCAAATTGGTCTATTCCTGGATCCTCGACCGATTGCTGCTTCTTGCATCTGTTGTTGTTCATGTAAAGCAAAAGAGAGGCCGACGACAACAGGAGAAGGAATAGAGATGCAGAAACCGCTATGATCGCCAGCCTAACCCTGCGGGTGACTGAATGATGACTAGAAGAAGCTGGCCTTGTCGCGCATTTCGGAAGATGAAGGTCCATAGTTGCGCAAAGCAGAGGATTTCCAATTAAGGAAACGGCGGTGGTATTTCGAAATATCCCTCCACTTGGAACCTCGCCGCGGAGATCATTGTACGAGAGGTTCAGGTACTGGAAATCCCTTACATCCTGCAGCTGTTGTGGGATTTCTCCTGTCAAACTGTTGCAGGAGAGATCCAGTTCCCTGAGACCTTTTATGGAAGCCAATGATGAAGGAATGCTGCCTTGGAATGAGTTCCCTTGCACGAACAGACGCTCCATGCTCTCGCAGTTCTCGATCGTGCTGGGAATTTCGCCGGAAAGGTTGTTGTGAGAGACGTCCATTGTGTTCAAATGAGTCAGTTTCCCTGTTTCACGAGGTAGCTTCCCACTCAGCGAGTTGTGGGACAAGTTCAGCAATTTGGCTAGTGAGGAAGATATGTTCATTACCTCCGCGGGTATCTCTCCACTTAGTTTGTTGTGTGAGATGTCGATGGAAGTTAGACTCAGGCAGTTCCCAAGGCTTGCCGGAATCGGTCCTTCGAGTCTGTTCTGCGACAGGTCGAGGTCGAACAATCGTTTAAGACCCCCTATCGAGTCAGGAATTCGGCCCGATAACTCGTTCCCTTGCAAGCTCAGAAGCTGCAAATTCTGCAGCTTGCCCAATGAAGAAGGGAGTTGGCCCTGGAAAATGTTGGACTGCAGCTCCAAATCGGTTAGTCCGACTAGCTTCTGCAGCCCTTCAGGTAAAACACCGCTGATTCGGTTGAGCGCAAAGCTCAACCGAGTGAGCCGAGTCGATGAGAGGTTTCCAACAGACCCCGGCAGTTCGCCCCCGAGGTTGTTCATGGAAACCCCTATGCTGTCAAGCTGGCTGCAATTCGACAACGAAGTCAGGAAATCGAAATCGCCCATCGAATTGTAGCCGAGATTGTTACCACCGATCTCTAGCGCCAGAAGGCCTCCGGAATTCCCAAGGCAGTTCGGAATCCTGCCCGCGAAACGGTTCATGTTCATGTTGATGTCCACCAGGCGAGAAGCATTGCATAACGACTCGGGGATCGACCCGACCAGATCGTTCTCCGAAACCGCAAAGTAGCCTATGTCTCTCAAGGTGAAGCCTATGTTCTCAGGCAGCCTGCCTTCCAGCTTGTTGAAAGTAAATGTCATGATGTGGATTGTGGAGAGATTGTACAGAGACATTGGAATTGTACCAGAGAGTTGGTTAATGCCAGCTGCAATTATGTTCAACTTCGAGAGTCGACCGAAGCTCTCAGGAATTCGTCCCACCAGGTTGTTGTACGCAGCACCGAAGTTGACAAGCTGAGACAGATTTCCCAGGGAAGCCGGGAGAGGTCCCGTCAGATTGTTCTGCCCGATCCTGAGGATCTCGAGCTTCGATAGCGAGCCAAGTTGTACCGGGATCTTGCCCCGTAGTTTGTTGGAGGAGAGCATCAGGATCCGGAGCTTCGAGCAGCGGCTTAAGTTGGCTGGAATCGTACCAGTGAACGAGTTGCCCGTGGCGTTGAAGTGCTGGAGCAGAACCAGGTTGCCTAGCTGTGGTGGGATTCGGCCATGGAAGGTGTTGTTCTCGATATTGATGAACCTGAGGAAGCTGAGGTTGCCGACGTGTGGAGGCAGAGTACCGACCAGATTGAGCTCCGACAGGTCGAGGGATGTGACCCTCTCGTCGCTTCCATGGAGGCTGCATTGGACGCCAGGCCAGCTGCAGAAATGGAGGGAGTCGTTCCACGAGCTGAAAAATCCATCTGGGTCGTTGGTTGTGCAGTTCTTGATTTGCAGCAACGCGATTCGATCGGTGTCGTCGTTGTTGCAGGAAACCTCGTGGGGTTGTCTTGTGAAGAACAAGTTGAGTGTGAGGATCAAGGTGAACTTGAATACAAGGCTGATTGGAGTCGCCATGGGAGTTTGCAGAGATCAGAGCTGCTTTCCTTGCCATATATATTGCGATGTTTAAAGCGTGGATCAATCATGATAATGTTATATGTCCTAGCAGAAGTCAAAGTTGCCAAGAATTTTGATTTTGATGCATTGATAATGGCGATTGTGTATTGGTCCGGATTACTTAAAAGTCTTAAAGCTTTGAAATTGTGCGTGGAATGGAATGACCGGAATTAGGACATTGATTGAATTTTTTTTATGGGACATTGATTGAAATTTAGTTTCTCGCGATGATTTCAACTTGATCCGACTTATTTAATTAGTAGCAAATGTGGTTGGTTAATTCAATCGGCATGATTATCAATAAGTTTATTTGTAGTCTCTGGGAGATATAATTTTCACCTAATTAATTTAAAGAGTTATATATCTTTTGTTTTAAGTTGTAATTTTATTTATTTTGCACAAACTAATTGTATTTTTCAAAATGACATCTACTATATAGTCCATACCATGACACTAATCCTTAGTAGTACATAAGAATATACCATGTTGGTAAGAAAGTGTATCATGGTGGTATGTATATAGTAGAATGGTTGTTGTACATTATATTAGAAATATACAAATCGTTAAGGACTTAAGGGTGCGCAATGTTCAGGTGCGAACCGGACCAAACTCATGAGTCATGAAAACCGCACTCCAATAGTGAAAGACATTTTAGGACCAAGACTATACAATTATTGTGTTAAGTTTGGTTTTGATCTGACCATCAAATGTTTCTCAAAATTTGAGTTAAAAATAAAGGTAATACGAGTGGTGTCACCGCGGGACACCGTTTCTTTCTCAAAATATAATAAAAATTAATATCATTTTGTAGATAACAAACTCGTATCATCTATGAAAAAAAACTTCTAACTTAAATAAAGAAGATACAAAGGATTAAAACATAGATTTTTTTTAATCTCATCTCTTAGATCTAAGACCACTCAAAATCAATATGTTAGATCTGATTATGCATAAGTACGTAACCTAACGCATTCTATTCTTGATTCGTTTTCTGTACATTATGTGGAATTTTGCTTAAATTATTGAAAGCTTTCTTTGAGCTCTAATCAAATTATAATTAGACGAGAACCTAAAATGTTACTCTTTACTCGTATGTGTCGACCTGCATCAATTTGTGAATCGAGACAAGAACTCAATGTGGACCAAAGACGATTATGATTACGAAAATAACCATATTCTGACCTGTAAAATAACATTAATTGTATTTGTAAAATATCATTAAGAATACAAATCTTAGGTAACTAATGATAATGATTACATATAATAACACCTTTAGAGTACACTCTCAAATTACATATAAACCTCTTTGTAAACATCCTTTATTTACCATTAATGAATCAACTAGTTTTTTACCCGGCCGGTTGGCCAAAAAATTTCATTTTATCATTTATATAAATTAATTTATCTACATGTATAAAATCTTTTTAATCTTCTAACTTTTTTATGCTCACGCTTCATAAGTGAGTATGCTATATGTTCATATTAAAAATTCTCAATATTTAGCACACTCACCTATGATCTTCATAGGTTTCGATTCTCTAATAATAAATCATATTTTAAAGGTTTATCCTGACACATTTAGAATAGTATACAAAAGTTTGTCAACCAAGCCATTCAAATTTCTAATCTTATAAAACATCTAAAATTTCATGATTCTCGAGTGAGGACAAACTCTCAAACAATTATTAAGAGTCCATATTATTGGATAAAGATACTTGATTACTCGATAACTTGTGTTTATCCAAGTGAAACTTTACACATACCGTACCCCTTATTATAATCAACTTATCTAATCATGACACATGTTTATGTGAACGTTCATTAAGTCTCTGAATCTGGTTTCCAGCGTCAGTGGTGTAAGGGATATGGGCTGGATTGCTAAGGACGCTATCGGGAGGTCTGGGGGCATCCTTATATACTGGGATAATGCTCTTCTCAAGGTAATTTCAAAGTATGCTGGCACTCACTTTCTTGCTGCTCAGTTTGAAGAAGTCGTTTCCTCTAAGACTTGGTTTCTCGTAATCGTTTATGGGCCTCAAGACAGAAGTGAGAAACTCTACTTTCTCTCTGAAATGAAGAATTTTTGCTCCCAACTTTCTCTACCTTATTGTGTGGCGGGAGATTTCAATTTAATCAGAAGTCACGACGACTACAGTGGGGCTAGAAGGAGTTCTGATCTCATGGATGATTTCAATGAAACTATTGATGATCTTGCCAATCTTGACTTGCCTTTGGGAGGCAGCAGATTTACTTGGTGCAATGGTTGGAACAATGTGTCGTTGTCTCGTATTGACAGGGTATTTATATCGCCGGGGTTCGATTCTCTTTTTCACGATTGCACTCTTACTGCCTTAGAAAGGATTGAATCTGATCATAACCCTCTGCTGGTTTCTTGGGGCAGTAATGATATCATTCGTCGTCCGTGGAAATTTGAAAACATGTGGCTGCAGGATGACATATTCCTTCTTAGCGCCGTTGAATGGTTTAAAGCCCCAGTTTTTGGCAAAGGCGCGGTCTTCCTGTGGTCCAGAAGGCTGTCTTTTCTGAAACGCAACATTAAGATTTGGAACAAGGAGGTATTCGGGGATATTGGGATTAAAATTGAG